GCTGATAGACGCTTTGGCCATTTGCCTCGAAATTTTCACACATTATTGACAAGGTGTTCCCCCTTCAAAATGCGTCCGGACAGTTTATTACGGCGAGTGGAACAAAAATAACAAGTCCGCAATTAACATGGATATATAAATTATGTAAAAATAGAAAAGAGTGAACTTTGAGGTCATGCTGTGCGACTTTGAAAGCCGTTAGAGAGATGAGTGGACGCATTTGAATTAGTAGTATACCAAGGTATCCAGTGATGTAATTTTACCCACAAACGGACTTGAAGTTTTTAAGCTAATTTTTTTTAAACCACTTTTGTCCAAAAAAGCATATTTTTGACCCAAAATCAAAAACGCATTCTGGATATTTAAAATAAAGACAAGTTTTACAAAGTTTGTATAATAAGCTTTCAGAAAATATATAACATGTTGGATATATAATACGATCTTCATTGTCTAATTACTCAATTAAAAAGCAAGCCAAATAAACTGCATCTCTACCTTAAATTAAAGAAACTTCTCTCCAAATTAAACCGTCTACAACCTGTGAATAAAACAAACATAATACAATCATTATAACAATAACTATCATTTTTCACTTTTATAATTTTCAATTTTTGATACACCAGTTGCCAAGCATGAAGTCATCGCCAACAAATTTAAATCCTTTTTTTAGAAATCCCATCCAAATTATATCATAATGCTATACTCAATCAAGGCAGCGCTGTCACCGTTAATAATGCTAGAATTGAAACCCTTGTTTTCTTGCAGGTCAAAATCTGGGATCAGATTGCACTTGCTTTAGTCTTTTCTGTTGAAATTGGTTTACTATTTTAAATAATTTTCATTGGGTACTATTTTCAATAATTTCCATTGGTTTACTATTTTCAATAATTTCCATTGTGTACTATTTTCAATAATTTCCATTGGTTTACTATTTTTAATAATTTTCATTGGGTACTATTTTCAATAATTTCCATTGGTTTACTATTTTCAATAATTTCCATTGGTTTACTATTTTCAATAATTTTCCATTGGTTTACTATTTTCAATAATTTCCATTGTGTACTATTTTCAATAATTTCCATTGGTTTACTATTTTCAATAATTTCCATTGGTTTACTATTTTCAATAATTTTCATTGGTTTACTATTTTCAATAGTTTTCATTGGTTTACTATTTTCAATAATTTCCATTGGTTTACTATTTTCAATAATTGCCATTGGTTTACTATTTTCAATAATTTCCATTGGTTTACTATTTTCAATAATTTCCATTGGTTTACTATTTTCAATAATTTTCATTGGGTACTATTTTCAATAATTTCCATTGGTTTACTATTTTTAATAATTTTCATTGGGTACTATTTTCAATAATTTCCATTGGTTTACTATTTTCAATAATTTCCATTGTGTACTATTTTCAATAATTTCCATTGGTTTACTATTTTTAATAATTTCCATTGGTTTACTATTTTCAATAATTTCCATTGGTTTACTATTTTCAATAATTTCCATTGGTTTACTATTTTCAATAATTTCCATTGGTTTACTATTTTCAATAAATTTCATTGGTTTACTATTTTCATAATTTTCATTGGGTACTATTTTCAATAATTTCCATTGGTTTACTATTTTCAATAATTTCCATTGGGTACTATTTTCAATAATTTCCATTGTTTACTATTTTAATAATT